TAGTATACCATGCTGTATCTCCATGTCTGTTAGATGGCACAGTGATTCCTGGAGTCAGGCTGAGTTCAAATTGACCCTTAGATGCTTACCATCTGTGTGACCCTGGTCAAGTTACTTAACCTCTATTTGTCTCAGTTTCCTCCTTTGTAAAAAGGGAATGATGATGATAACAATAGCACCCAGGGTGCCCTGCCAGGATTGTTGTAAGAATCAAATGAGATCTTTTTAAAGAGCTCTATAAATGCTACCTATTATAGTTACTAGCTATGTGACCCTGGGCAAGTCACTTAATCACTGTGTCTCCTTCCTTTTCCTCTTATGTAAAATGGGTTAATAGCACCTACTTTCCAGGGTTGCTGTGAAACTCTCAGGAGATACAGGCATACCTTGTTGTACTGCACTTTACATTATTTCGCTTCAGAGATATTTCGGGTTTTTGCAAATTGAAGGTTTGTGGCAGCCTGCGTCCAATAAGTCTATCAGCACCATTTTTCCAACAGCATGTGCACACATTATGTCTCTGTGTCACATTTTCATAATTCTGGGAATATTTCAAACTTTTTCATTATTGTTGTATTTGTTACCATGATCTGTGATCAGTGATCTTTGATGATACAATTGTAATTGTTTTGGGACCCCTCAAACCTATAAGGCATCAAACTTAATAAATGTTGGGTGTGTTTGAATTTTCTGCCACGGCTTCCCTATTCCCTAAGACTGAGCAATATTGAAATTAGGCCGGTTAATAACCCGCAATGGCCTCTAAGTGTTCAAATGAAAGGAAGAGTTAGTCTGTTGGACAGACGTCCTTGTCTTAGTTGAAGAAACTGCCACAGCCACCCCCCTGATCAGCCAGCAGCCCTCAGCACTGAGGCCAGGCCCTCCGCCACTCACTGAAGGCTCGGGGGATGGTTTACATTTTTTAGCAATAAAGTATTTTGTAATTAAAGTATACACATTGTTTTTTTAGACATGATACTTTTTTTTATTTAACAGACTACAGTATAGTGTAAACATAACTTTTATATGTACCAGACCATTTGTGTGACTCACTTTATTGCCACCTTCCTTTTGTTGTAGTGGTCTGGAACTGAATCTGCAATCTGTCCAAGGTATGCCTGTATCTTTATATAAATATGTAAATCCTGGGCAAGTCTGTTAGCCTCTGCTCGCCTCAGTTTCCTTATCTGTAAAATGGGGATAATAATAGCACCAGTCTCCCAGGATTGTTGTGAGAATCAAATGAGATTTTTAAAGAGCTCTCTAAATCTTTGTGACCTTGGACGTGTCATCTAACTTCTGTTTGCCTCAGTTGCCTCATCTGCAAAACGGGGATTATAGCACCCATCTGGCGGGGTGGTTGTGAGTTTGTGAAGCACTTAGCACACAGTAGCTGTCATGTACATGTCGGTAGCTTTAATGATGAACATGGACTTGTGCTTTCAGAGACATTGCCCTTTCTTTCCAGTAGGCACGTGGGAGGGCTAGAGCCCAGGCGTCTCTGCTTGCCCGAAATGCCGGGCCCCCCCACCCCTCCCCCACCACCTGGCCTCTTGCACTTCCCTCTGACTCTTCTCCCAGCCCCTCCCGCTGGGGCAAGGTCACGCCTTGTTGCTCGCCTCTGCCTTCTGATTGGCTGAACTTCTCTGGCCTTCTCGGGATTGGCGGAGGCGGAGTCGGCCGGGGCCTGGCGCTTCCTCCTAGGCTGAGGATGGTTCTCTTCGAGTTCTTGATGGGGGTGGGTGTGTGAGCACCTGGGACCTGGCCGGCCTCCCCCTCCTCTCAGGGGAGGGGAAGGTGGGGGGGAGGGGGAGGAGGAATGCGGAGGAAAGAACCCCACCCCCCACCCCCGGGGTCCGTGTTGCCCAGCAAGGAGGGGTCCGGAGGCCCCCAGTCATGGGCCCTTGAGCCCATTGGGTGGAGGAGGAGAGTGAGGCCTCCTTTGTTAAGCACCTACTGTGTGCTCGGGCCCGGGGGGTGGGGTGCCGTGGAAGAGAGGCTTTATTGACAATGGGCTTTGCTATAGCGCTTTACTACTGTCAGTAACACGTTGGCCGCTAGGGGGCGCCATAGTGTGTAGGGCGCTGGTCTTGGAGTCAAGAAGACTCCCCCATCTGAGTTCAAATCCAGCCTCAAACACTACTGTGTGACCCTGGGCAAGTCACTGAACCATTTGCCTCAGTTTCCTCATCTGTCAAATGAGCTGGAGAAGGAAATGGCAAACCGCTCCAGTATCTTTGCCAAGAAAACCCCAAATGGGGTCAGGAAGAGTCAGACAGTGCAGAAACATCATGTGCTGAGCACTGGGCTAAGCACTTTTTCAGATAGTATCTCATTGGACTCTCACAACCACCCTGGGAGGTAGGGATTATTATTACTTCCATTTTACAGATGGGAAACTGAGGCAGACTGGGGTTAAGTGACTTGCTCAAGGTCACACAGCTAGTGTCTGAGGCCACATTTGAACTGGTTTTTCCCAACAGCTGGTCTAGATACCACCTAAGCTTCTTATGGTCCCTTTCTCAGAATCATGGTTTTAAATAATAGAAAGAAAGAAAGCATGTTTCAGTTGGAGCTTATTGGGAAGAAAGATGACATTTTCATTTTCCATCCAAGTTCACACACCCGCTGAAATATATTCCTGGACCCCAGGTTAAGACCTCTAGTATGGTGCCTTGCACACTGTAGGGGATTGATAAATGGCAACCAACCTTAAATTTCAGTGATGGGGAGGGATGGTGGGGGCAGTGGGTTGGGAAGTGACTTCCTGGATAGAACCAGAGACCTAAAGTCGGGAAGATCTGGGTTCAAATGTAGCTTCAGGCATTTACTGGAAGTGTGATCCTGGGCAAATCAGTCACTTAGCTTGTACCTCAGTTTCCTCATCTGTAAAATAACACATATTTCCAGTACTGTTGTGAGGATAAAATGAGATGATATTTGCAAACTCTGCAAAACTTTAAAGCAAAATAGAAACATTGGGTGGGGGGCGGTCTTCACAGAGGAGGTAGGCCTAGAGCTGAGCCTTAAAAAAAGAGCCAAAAGGGGAGAGGACTGGGGCTGCTCTGGATTCTCAATTTGTTGTTGTTTAGTCATTTCCTGTTGTGTCTGACTCTGAGTGACCTCTTTTGGTGTTTTCTTAGCAAAGAAAGTGGTTTGTCCTTTCATTCTCTAGCTCATTTGACGGAGGAGGAAATTGAGGCAGACAGGGTTAAGTGACTTGCCCAGGGTCACGCAGCTACTGTCTGAGGTTGGATTTGAGCTTGGATCTTCTTGACTCCAAGCCCGGTACCTTGTCCACTTCACCACCAGCTCTCATCTCCTCACTTTATAGAGGAAGAAATTTAGCCTGAGTCCCTCAGAGGCTAAGTGACTCATTGCAGGGCCCACACATGGCAGACCCAGGTCCTCTGACTTCAAATGCAGGGTTCCTATCATTGAACCAGAATAGCTTTCTCTAAATTCATCTGTGTAGTAACCTCAAAAGAGTATTACCCGATTTGACCATTTTATTCAGGCTTGATTCTGGAGGCTTTTTGGTTCTTTCAAAAAAGTATGTCCAATCCATATCCTTACAAAGCTAAAAGTCTGCTGTTGAGGAAATAGAGAAAAATGGGCCTAAGATTGTAAAGGCCATTCTAAAGAAATTATCAGAACTTTTGACCAGTGACAGTCTTGGTTGTATCACAGATAACTCTAATGTATGGTCTCCCAAGGTTATTGTTTAAGAGGAGACAGCTTTCATTTGGATGTAAGAGTCCTAATGTGGTTTTTAAATGTATTTGTTTAGTCTCACCTCATATCAGAAACTTAATATTCATTAATTTTGTTGTTGTTGTTCAGTCATATCTGATTCTTTATGACCATTTGGGGTTTTCTTGGCAGAAATAATAGAGATACTGGAGTAGTATGCCAGGTTAAGTGACTCGCCCAGGGTCACACCGCTAATAAGTGTCTTGAGGCCAGATTTGAACTCAGGAAGGTGAGTCTTCCTGACTCCAGGTCCAGCACTCTGTCGGCTTTTCCACCTAGCTGCCGCAGTTCATTAATTTTCCAAGCACGTATTGCTTCTTCTGCCTTCTAGGGATCTGCTGAAGGTGTTGAGATAACACAGACCTATTGGAATGACTAGATCGCTCCCCTTAAAGTGGTTGTTTCCAAGAATCTTGTGACACATTTGCCTCTAAGCTAGGCCTTCTTAAACTTTTTCCACTTCTTAAACCCACAGTTTAAGAAGGATCTAAACAAGTGGATCATTCACATAGGAACTGTATAGACCTATGTAATCATGGGCCATTCAGTCATGTTGAGCGTCTCTCAGTTACTTCATTTAGAGATGGAAGTAGTGATGCCTGTGGTATTTAAAGAGCTATCAGGAGACTCATAGGACTTTATGGAAAGCACTTTACCAACAATAAAGAACTGTCTAAATGTTAAGAGAGGCACTGTGTAGCTTGGTGTCTGGACCTGGAACTAGGAAGGGTAGAGTTCAAACCCTGTCTCTAGCTGTGTGACCCTGGGCAAATCACTAACCCTCTGCTTCAATTTTCTAATCTGTAAAATGGGAATAAAATAGTGGCTGCCTCCCAGGGTTGTTGTGAAGCTACGTGTGGAGCACTTTGCCTACCTTAAAGCCAGTATATAAATACTAGCTGGATTTGAAGATAGAAAGACCTGTGTTCAGATCCCCACTTTGATTATTATTAGTTGTATGATGATGGGCAAGTTACTTAATTTTTCTGAACCTACAAAGTTATGTGCAGTTTACAGTCTGCACCAGTGATATCACAGGTCCTTGACTGCTGAAGCTAGGTTCTTTTCTGCTTAGGTTAAAAACATGGCTTTTATTTGCCATCTTGTGAGCATGACTGCAAAGGTCTCATACTAGTTATCACTGGCTGGCTCAAGCTAAATTGTGTATAACGTAATTTGTCCCTGCACGAGGTTTCCTGACCCATTGTATCAGAGCTAATAGCTGGCAGAAACAGTAAGATATGTTTTATTGCCCCCTTTATCAGACTGGATCAAAAAGTAACCTTTCAAGGAGGGTTGACTTGGTGATATCTGTAGCTGCTGGCACTGTTAGAAGTAGTAAACTCATATAGAGACTTTTGGTCTATAGGGGATGACTGATCAATTTAGAAATTGTGATGGGAGGAAAAAGCGTTTTGTTTTGTTTTTTATTAGTAAATGGAGAAATGAAGAAAGGATGTATTATTTAAACTAAGATGTTGGATTTTTTTGATTTTAAAATGGTTTTTAAAAGTGATTGTACGTAGCAGCTAGGTGGCGCAGTGGATAGAGCTCTGGCCTTGGAGTCAGTAGGACCTGAGTTCAAATCCAGCCTCAGACACTTGACACTTACTAGCTGTGTGACCCTGGGCAAGTCACGTAACCCCGATCACCTCACCAAAAGAAAAAAAAAAGCACAAAAACAAAAAGTGATTGTGGAGGATAGTATAAGAATGATGTCTTGGGTTTTGGGGGAGGGTCTTAAGGATTTTTTTTTTTTGGTAATAGAGAATAGTAAAGTGGTAATCAAGTAACGAGTTCTGATCTTTCATTTCTGTTTAAGTTCTTGAAATAATGTCGATAATAATATTTTGAAAAGAAGATTCAGTAGTATTAGTTTTTGAGTAAAGAAGAGGTTGAGTTCCTATAAATTTATGTGATGATTTTTTGTTCTTCATTTGCATCATGATGTTCAATTGTCTTTCAGTTGCATCCTGCCATAAAGGCCTTTCTGTGTGGTTCCATCGGTGGGACCTGTTCTGCTCTTCTTTTTCAACCTTTGGATCTGCTTAAAACCCGACTGCAGTCTCTCCCAGCACACCATGGGTAGGTGCTCCCTACTAATTGCTATCACTGCTAATTATAGACAGGTCTTGCTTGATGTAAATTTGTATTAAATAAATTCGACTCTGTGGAAGGAATTCTGAAAGAAATCTGCATTTCCTGCCTGCCCCCCTCCATCCCTTTACCAAATCCTCAAGTAAATTTCCTTAAAAATTGCTTTGTGTAGAGGTCTTCAGAATAGTCCACTTATTATAAATCAAGAACTGTCTGTACATCTTACCAATTAGAAGTAGGTTTCAACAACTCTGTAGAAAGAAGAATCCTCTGAGTATTAAAAGACCTTTTCGGTTCCAGGTGTTGTGCAGAAAAATACTACCTTCACTAGTACTATGTAACTTCCACTAGCACTTTTTGTATTTTTCTTTTCCGTTTTCTTTTAGTAACCATTATTTTGTGTGAAATTATTTTCTGATTAGCTCCTAGCCTCCAGTTAGTGAGTTGCTTTTTATGATTGCAGCAGGGGTTTAAATACATTGACTATTCCAAGTATAATGTATGTGGGGTGATCACCCCTCTATCTGCTACTAGCTCAATTTCTTTTTTTGGGGGAGGGAGGGTGAGGTAATTGAGATTAAGTGACTTGCCCAGAGTCACACAGCTAGTAAGTGTTACTTGTCTGAGACTGGATTTGAACTCAGGTTCTTCTGACTCCAAGGCCAATGCTTTATCCACTGCACCACCTAGCTGCCCCCTCGGTTTCTTTATTAGTTTTCATCTGACTTTGTCAATCTAGGGATACGTTCAGATTACTAAAACTGCAATATTGCTCACTAAATAATCAATTAGCTCTAACCTGCACCCTTAGTTTATTAAATGTTAATTAATAAACAATAGAAACTTTCCCTATAAACTTTTTCTTACCTCTCTATCAAACCCCATGATTGTCTGGCTTTAAAAAAATATCATTTGTTAGCCAAAGAAATATTAATGGTATTGACAATAAAACAGAACAGTTATTTAGAACGTATGTGTTGTGAGTAATAGCACAACCAAAATCACCTCTTCCATCTCTGTTGTTGCCGACTTCTCAATTCTGGAAACACAGGCCCACCATTCAGCTCTCTCAAGATAACAATTAAAGTCTCTTCTTGCTTTTTTGTTTTTTTGAAAGTTAAGACTTCATATAGTTCTCTTAGGAAAGAGGTTCTTTCTCCCCATCCTCTCAGTTTTCTCTCAAGCCATTACAAGTTAACAGTATTTCCAGAACAAGTCAAATTCTCAGTCTCTTAACAAACTCTTCAAAAAAATGACAGTTAAATTGTAGCTGTCCAAAATACCTTTGTCTCTTAAAGAAACAGGAACAGTGAGAGACTTGGTGAAGCTGGTGTTACGTATCTCTCTGAAGCAAAAATTTTACATCCCTGAAAATCATTTTAGGGTACATCAAATCCATATTAATATTCTATTCAATACACACGTTGAATGCAACACGGGTTGCTTCGTATACAAAACTAGCAATAATAATAATAGTTAAATATGAGACATGCATGACCCTGCATGCATGTGCAGTCATTTTTCAGTCATGTCCAATTTTTTGTGACCCCATTTGAAGTTTCCTTGGCAAAGATACTGGAGTGGTTTGCCGGTTTCTTTTCCAGATCATTTTGCAGATAAAGAAACTGAAGCGTAAGTAGATTAACTTGCCTAGTTAAGTGTCTGAGGTCAGATTTGAACATAAAGGCATAAGTTTTCCTGACTTCAGGCCTAGCACTCTATTTACTTCACCGCCTGTGTGTGTGTGTGTGAAAAAATACAAAGCAACATTACATATAATTCAGCAATTGCCTATATCTACCTTAATGGGTAACCATTTTTCCTGTAAAATCACAGTTAAGCCTATTTATAGGTTGGATACTTCTAATTCTTTTGTGGTCTATTGAATTTTCTACATCTGTACCCAAGGTGATTGATAATCTGGGTTCAATACCCATATTTCTAAACTCTGTGGCTTGTCTCCTTACCCTACATATCTAAGGTTTTAGGCAGGAAAGGTACTGTCTCTGGGTTTACTTCTCTCTATCTTGTCTTAACTGGGTTCCTCCTCCATCCTAGGCCTGATTTTACTCAAAGCAATACCTTTTCTGGGGCTCTCTTTGCTGACCGGGAAGTAAGCTGGGCTTTTATACCCTTGAGCCACTGTTTTAATGTAGCTATTTCCTTTGGAGTTTCTATTTACAGTTCTTTTATATCAAGATGAATTTCTTTTTCTTGGTCTTTAGCTCTCTCTTTAGATCTACAGTATGAACATTTTAACTTCTTTGAAGGGGCAGCTAGGAGGCTCAGTGGATAGAGTACCGACCCTGGAGTCAGGAGGACCTGAGTTCAAATCTGGCCTCAGACACATAACACTTACTAGCTGTGTGACCCTGGGCAAGTCACTTAACCCCCATTGCCCAACAAAAACAAACAAAAATAATTCTCTGAAACTTGTTGCTTTGCTTTTACTTTATTTTCCAATTTCTTTGTCAGCTGAGATATCTCACATTCAAGTAATTTTTTTTTTTAATCTGGCACAAGGTAAGCACTTAATAAATGTTTTTGGGTTGGTTGAACACTAAAGCTTCTTGGCAAAATTCTGTAATCTTGCTTCATGTCTTAACATATTCTTACCACCTACCCCCATTTAGAACTTGAGTTCCTTTATCTTAACCCTAAGTCCACCTAGTGTACGTTTATAACAGAGAAAATAGTTCCATCTCTCTCATCATATCTTGATGCTGGTATTCTTGTTTCACGTTGTCATGATCTGATTAACAACGAGGCCGTGCTTACTGAGTCCAGCACAGACTCGGTCCCTTGCCCCATTTTCTTTTCCCAATGCTGATTCCTTGGAGGTCAGCCTCTCGCACCAGCTCTGCATTCCTTTATGTGGGGCATTCATCAAGTTAGATTGCTGTACCCTTGGATGACATTTCACATTTTTGCCAATGAATTCATTGTCAAGAGACTTTCATATAATTAGTGACACTGACCAGGTCAGGTGGGAAGTGGTTGTCAGCGAATAGGTCCTTAAGGAACACCTAATGCTTGTCCTAACCTTTAAGCAGTTTGCTGTATAGTTAGGTAGACAAAATCTCTGCACTGAGATAGTAGAGAGCAGCACAAGACAATGTGTGACTCTATACGTGCGTGTGTTTCCATATAGTTGTGTAAATATGGGTACTAAGGGTCAAATTATATGAAACTGCAAATGTCGTGGGTTATGCAAAGATAATTGTTTATACCATGATGTCTCTGAAAAGCGGTTTGTTTGTTTTTTTGTGGAGATACTGTCTAAATAGTGACTCTTAACTTTCTGTCTTTTTGTCTCTTCTTTCAGGTCTAAACGCATTGGAATGGTCTCTTTGTTATGCAAGGTGGTTCGCACAGAGAGTCTGCTGGGACTTTGGAAAGGAATGTCTCCAGTAAGCTTCTGCTTGTCTTGGATCTTGAGCACCAGTTTTTGATGATTAGATATTT